AAGGAGGTAAAGGTACATTTCTGGGTGCATTGGATTGCTTTCTCTGGTCAGCTTCTTTTTCTAATTTCTCCATCTCTATCACATCTCTATTTTGCACCATTAAGCATTTCCCAATTCCTTTGCCTGATAGTTTCAACAAATGAGCCCTCACTCTAGTATATGAACTTTTAAAATCTTTTTTACAAAAGTTGCACATCCAAGATAAATTTCCTCCTCCTCCCACTATAGCATCTATTTTGGTAACATATTTCCATAAGGGTTTATCTAGTAATTCATTAACATCAGAAGCACTGGTAGCAGCAGTGGCACTATTACTTGCACTGGCAGAGGCAGAACTCGAATGATCCATCTTGTAATTCTATAAATGTGTTAAAAAAAATGAAATTAGTGAGATTGATTTAGTATATAAAACAGAGAACTAAATTACTTGATGCAAGCTGCTAGAATAGAACGAGTAAAACTAAAGTAGTTCGTAGGTCTGAGGGAGTTGGATTAACATGGTTGAAAGAAAAAAGAATGAAATAAAAAGGATCAACAGCTGCTAGAATATAAGCTATTAATATGCCTGCACTTGTTTTGCTCCTCTCTGACTCAATAACTGCTGAAACAAAGTTAAACTAAAGAAACACAAAAAAAGACATGTCCGTGCTTTAGAGGTAGTAGGACAGGATAACATGCCTATGAAAGTTTGAAATGTTTAGGGGAGAAAGGTATAAACTCAGATCACAACGTTTTTCATTGAGATAGAAGGTCTCAAAAATGCCTGATGAGTGGAGAATAAGCACTTAGACAATTATTTACAAGAATGAAAAAGACATGCAAAATTGTGCAAACTACAGAATAAGCCAAATGATGACACTCTGAAAAAAAAGTAATGAGAGTATATTACAACAAGAGGACACTCAATTACTATTATGCTGTAGTGGTCAATCATGGAGGCTATATACCTAGTGCGGGGTTTGATAGAAAGATATAGAAAGAAACAGGAAAATAAAATAAATCTACACATGATCTTCATTGATCTAGGAAAAACCTACGATAAGATGCCATGCGAAATCATGTAATAGGATCTAGAGAATCAAGGAGTTCATGTCACATATATTATTGCTATAAAGGATATTTGTGATAGGACAACAGCCAGTATTGAAACTCATGCAGATGTAACAAAAAAATTTCCTATAACAATATGATAGGTTTGAACCAGGGGTCAACTTGGTTGGACGTACTAATTGGGCAGAGGGCACATCTAAGAGTCAATGCATGTTTTTTGTGGAAAGAAGCTTTGGAATCAAAGAGATTTCGGTTGAGTAGGAATAATAAGGAATATATGAAATGCAAGTTCAATAAGATGTGAGAATGTTTTGGAAGTGTCAATTGGGAAGCACATCATACAATTAGTTGCACAGATTGCGTATCTTGGAACCACCACATAAAGTAACGGGGATGTCATTTCATGCATATTCAAGCTGGGTTGATGAAATGGAGAAATGCTTTAGTTACAATTTATGAATGCAAAGTGCTCATCAAACTATGGCACAATCAAACCAGAAATGCTTTATGATAGTCAACAATGTTGATCAGTGAAGTGTGAACAAGAGCAGAAAGTAGAGTAACACACCAAAGCCTATTGATGAGCAAATGATGGAAGCTTGCTTAAGGTGGATTGGTCATGACTTGTAAGAAGACCAACAAAGACTCGTATGAGAAATTTTGATCAAAATTGATGATGGTACAACAAAAAGGAGCAGAAGACCTCAGAAAACTTTAAGGAGAAACCATTAAAATAGACCTTACTCTAAATGGTGTTACTGAACTTTCGATTTTTGATAGAGTCCAATGGTGTCAGTTGACCCCAGACACTGACCCAAATAAAAAGAGTCCCATGCTTATTAGAAAACATTAGGCTCTACATGGACAACAAATTCACAATCGAAGTTTTAGAATTTTAATGTCGATTCTAGTTCTGACAAAACTTGAACTACTTCGGATAAATCTTGTGTTTGGATTGCAGAAGACTTACCGGAGACTTACCGGAGATGTAGAAGACAACCGACAACCGACGACCGGAGAAGACAACCGATGACCGACGACGACCGACGAGAAGGACCAAGCGGCGATTTGCAGCCTCAACTCTCCAGCGCGAGAGAGGATAAGAGATTCAGAGGATAGGGTTCTTTTTTTAATTTTATTAAATGTTTTTTATTTTTTTTAATTGTTAAAAAAAATGCAAAACGTGTCCAAAACGAGTCCAAATTCGTTGACTACGTGTCGGATTCGGTCAAACACGCGTGTCCCTCAAGTCAACGTGTCCCAAAGAGTTGACCACGTGTCGGACGCGTGTCCGAACGTGTCCTAACGTGTCCGTGTCCGACACGTGTCGGACACACATTTTTTCACAAAAAAAACGTGTCCGTGCTTTAGAGCTAGCCTTTGGGTTTCGACTAAATTGGGAATTCTGATTTCAGACGATTGTCTTCGACAGCAGATGATGATATATACATTGGTTAAACCTTTGTTAGACCAGACCAAAAAGTAGAGGTTACCCATAGCTAGACACTTATGGTCAAAATGTATGTTAGGACTGTCTTCATACGAGGAAAATGGTCATTGCCCACTTTCTTGTTGATGCTGCTGTGATTGTTTTGGATTCATACAACGTCACTCATTGCGTCTGATTTGATTGAAGGGAATAAATCTATAAAGGTCTGAAAAGGAAGTTACGACCGATGTTTAAAAATTCGGCTCGCGCGCCTGACCATCGATCCGACCGAGGTCAGGGGTCACGGGGTCATGGGTTCAATCGGGGGATTATGGGGTCACTTCGCTGATCCGGTTTTATACATTAAAAAAATATAAATATATATGCTATAAAAAAATCAAACCGTCAATCATTAAAGATTCAAAATATACTTAACATAATTCAACCAATTACATCTACAAATCAATATTCACAAGCTAATCATACTATCAAAGTATAAAACACATATTCCAATGGAGTTAATGAAAAGTTATATCATCATACTCAAGCCCTTCTTGTTCTTCTCATCCACCTACAATAGTATGTAAAAGGAGATCCCTTACCAAATAGATAATAGAGGAGGGAAAGAGGCGACATGACAAATTAACGGTGGGAAAAGAAAAACCAGTACAGTGGAGGAGATCACTGGAACAGGAAGACTGAGTATGTGTCAGGGAGAGAAGATCGGAAGAGAAGAAGAAAAATGATTCATATTACAGATCTAGTTCTAAATCTATGCAGTAATGAGTTTTTGTTATTTTTCTTTGTTTTACACATCAAATGACGTCATTTTGTGTATAATTTTCTTTTAAAAAAAAATGCAGTGACCCCTCTGACCCGGGAGTCAAGGGTTCAACCGGGGGGTTAGAGGGGTCAACTTGCAAGTAGGGTCTAACTACTAACCCGAACCTTTAGAGAGAGGGTCAGTGACCCGGAGGGGTCAACCCCGGGGTGGGGCGGGGTTTTAAAACACTGGTTACAACTACAATGAAAAAAAAACATTTAGGAGATGTTTGATAGAAGAAATTTTTTTTATAGAGAAATACAATTATTAAGAATATGGTGGGAAAATAAATTTGATAGAAAAGTTTAAAAAAAAATGTTAGATAGGCCGAAATATTACCAAAAAAATTGGGTTAAGTTTTTCGAGTCAATGTTTGGTTGACGGTAAAATATTGATGAACAATAGAATGAAATTACCAAATTAACCCTTGACTAAATACAAATAGGAAAATGCATTTGTATGTTACATGACAAATGAATAGTTATTATGTTAAGAAAAAGACAAATTATAAAAAAAAAAGGTGAGATAACACATTATTCAATGAATTTATCTTGTCTTTTTCTTAACATAAGAACTATTCATTTATCATGTAGCATGACAAATGCATTTCCCATATAAATAAGACTCTCTCTTCAACTTTCTTTTGTCACTTTTTTTTTAGAAAAGATATTTGTGTCCATTATTTTTTTTCTACTTTTTGATTTATGGAGTAATGAGAATATCACTCTCTGAATGATATTTTGAAATGACAAATTTTTTCAATTTTATAGACAAACTAAAATTGTTATTTAAATTTGAATGATGAGGAAATTTTTTAAAACCTCCTAATGATCAACTAGAAAACTCATATCAACTTTCCCAATCATCATAAAAAAAATCTCCTACCAATTACCTCATTAATATTTTTATATTTTGTGGAAGAGTTATTATTCCGATTTTTTTTTTCGTCCTTTCTTATTTGATAGTATCATTTGATTGGAATTTTTTTTCGAATAGCGTTATATTTTATTTTAAGTCTTAAAAGTAGCGTGTGTAAACAAAATGAATGAAATATCCTTAATTAATATCTTTACTAGTTTTCTTTTGAGATCACTTTCATGTTCTTGTATTATGATTAAATAAATAATCTACAAGAATTGGATAACTGTTCTTGTTTCTTAATAACAATGAAAGCAATAAATCTAATAAAGAACACCTGCTTTCTAATTTGATGAACAATCAACTTGATATCTCACCTGCTAAGTATTTCAAAAGTTATTCTGTTTTACCAAAACATGTTTGAACATCACCGAATTATATGATTTGGTCAGAAAAAAATATGTTTATTTTTTTCCCACTTTCCTATCATGTTACACAGAATATTGATAAAAAATATTGATAGAGAAACTCCCTCTTCCTATCTTTCTTTTATTCTTTCTTGGTTGCTTTATGCCAAGTGGGCCTCTTCTCACATGCTCACTCCTTTTTAAACTTATGAGTTATGACATATCTATTTTTCCCTTTGCCCATTAGTGAAAAAAAAGGTGGTTTTAAGTACCACCAACATTCACCATTTTAAAGACAAATATTTATCTCCACTTATGAGAAAAAGTTTAAAAAGCAGGAAAGTAGTTTGGAGAGAACCGGCTAAAATCAAGATTTTTTTATTTTTTATTTAAACAAAAGGCCTAAGCCCAACAAGCAAACAGACAAAACAAACTAAAACCTACACACCACTGTCCTAGATCTGTCGACAACAGTTAAATCACCAAAAAGCAGATGTTGTATACCAGGTGGAGGATCACGCCAAATTTTAAACGGGATGTGATCTTCCAAATCCAGAATAGAATTTGTCATCCAATTAACACAAACATTCCCTTCCCTATACGTATGCATGAGATTAACTGACCAGCTTCTATTTAACCATGTCCGTATGCGAGCTATCAGATGACACTCACGGACTGCTTCACCATTCATGGTAAGCACAGTGATCACACTAGATGAGTCACTTTCAATAATTATGTTACGATACCCCTCTCTCCAAGTCAACTCCAGACCCCGAAGAACACCCCAGAGCTCAACTTTGAAAGGAGAGCAAGATCTCAATCTATAAGAACAGCCAGATTAGAACTACCTTTTAAGGCTCCATCAATATTATCATTACATCACTACTCGGAAATTGCCAGGCAACATCAATTTGCATCGAAATTTTCTGAGGCATATTACCAAGAGCATGACTCCAAGCATCATGTATATTCCTCACTAATTCGCCAATGATACTCTTCTTCACGATCATATTCGGTAAAGCAGTACCATGCACCATCTCATTACGCCAGTTCCAATTCTTCCAACAAATAACGAAGAACAATGTCAGCCAGCCATCATCACCTCCGGTCACAGCCATGTCTATATTGAACAATAACCACTGATCGAAATCTCCCAGAAAAAAATTTCCTAACCTATCAGGATGCACAAAATTAGGCCATATAGGTTTAGTCTCAATACAGTCTCAAAGAGCATGCAACATAGTTTCACTTTCCTTTAAACAAATAGGACATATGTCATTACCGTTTCCCCATGAAGCAGTGTAACTTCTGTTAAGGAGCTTACCATGAAGGACCTTCCACATAAAATTTTTAATCTTCTCAGGTCCTTTCCATTTCCACAGTCGGCTCCACCTGTCAGACAAGTTATCAACACTGAAATTATGAAATATCCTTGACCGAGATGGTACTTGCACCATCCAGATCCCATAAAATCAAGATTTTATTACGCAAAGTTTAGTGATATTTATTTTTTTTTTATTTTTTATTTTTAGTTAATGTATTTTTATCAATAGTTATAAAATTTTCACGTAATTTTTCTTTTTTAAGAATTTGTTAAAAATAATGAATTTTTTTATCATTTCTTCCTTAACTTCTTGAAAACAAAATAATATGAAAATAAGATGACACTTTTATTATTATAATAAAAACAAATATATCAACTTAAAATGAAAATAAAAAGTAAAAAAAATAATTTATATTTTAAGAACTTATTTGCCATATCGTTTTTTAAAATAAAAGCTACTTTTAAGCTACAGATAAAAAAAATATAAAAATTAAAGCTAAAAATTATTTGATTATCATATAAAGCTGTCTTGAGGGTTTTGAAGAATGGAAGATGAAATAATTTGTTATTAAAATAAGTTATTAGGGTAAAGAGTAAAATTGGTAAATACAAATTTAAAATAAAGGTGAAACTAAAAAATAAAAATGAGAACTCTAAAAAACTAGCATATATCTTAAGAATTTCTTCTTTTGGAAGCTTTTAGCTTTTACTTTTTTATTCATTATAACAAAAAGGTCTTTTTTATAATAAGATTTTTGTAAAAATATCTTTGGCTGTGTTTCTGTTTTAAGGAGAAGAGAAATTAAAAATAAGACTTCTCAAATAGACACGAAAGTTCCAATACAACGACACTCGTTTCGAATAATACTACACTATGTTGCACTCACACCGACACGGGACATGAAATACGACACGATACGACATTTTGACACGTTAATTTTAAAAAATGTTAAATTTCGACACGTTAGGACACGTTTTGATATTATACAATATTTTTAATTTATATAGTGTATATTATATTTAATATTCAATAATTTAACAAAAAAATAAAGCTAAACTTATAATACTCATCAATTTTGCAAAGAAACATAAGATATCTCAAATGTTTATGTTAAACTCAATAAAATCGTAATCGTAATCTAACGAATCTAATAGTTGGAACTCAAAATGCAATGCAACATAACCTTTGAATCTTTTTTGAGTATTTGCGATGAGTATTGCAGTGTCGGTGAGTGTCGGACACGACACGTCAGGAATTTTGAACTGTCGGTGTTTCATAGATACTATATACCTATATTTATTTTTATACAATTAGCTTTACATTTATATAATTTTTTATTTAATTTAGTGATAATTAATCTCAATTTTTTGTGTGAGTGAGAATCTCAAAAAAATTTATTCATCCCTAAAATAATATCATTACCTCATAAATGTGAAGAAGAAAAAATGTGTAACAAAAATTTTCCCATTTAAAAATAGGTGGTGAATATAATAATTAACATGACTTTTATAGTGCAAAAATGGCTGGGTCCGGATTTAGTTTTTTTTTTGAGTTAATTCAACTTTAATTATATTTTTTAGGTGAGTTGATTTTTTTTTATATTTCCACAAATTTCAACTCTTTAAACTAACTATGTGAGTGCAGGATAGATCAGTAATGAAAATATTTAAATCTCTACTAAAAATAATATACAAGGATCGAATCTATACCTTTTTCTTTTCATTTTATTAACTCTCTTACTATCAATTCAACTACTACTATTTAATAGTCCGGATTTAGTTCTAGTTTCATTCAATTACTCTCATTTGCTTTTTGATCTGAAACTAGCTTTGTCAAGGGCCGGAACTGCATTGGATTTAAGCCTTATATGTACCTTTATCATGCCTTTCTACTTTTTCTGTGCAAGCTTAAAAGCGCTTGTCAGCGTCTGCATGTGTTCTATTGTGCAAGTTGTCATGCACAGACTAAGATTGTTCTGATAAATGGTCCAAAATGTATATCTGTTTTTTGCAAATGCTAACTTCAGAGAATGACTCTATTAAAAAGTACGCATTACCGTCTTACAACAAATTATCTCAAGGTCACATTAAATTATGCAAATAATGTCACATTAAAATTTATAGTACACAATTGCGATTATATATATATGGAGTTTACATTTCTACAATTGTTGTACATCCAGCAATCAAATATTTGTCATATATATACTTCAAAGCATTAAATGCGGGGAATCATAACCATACAAACAATAACGGACGCATGAATTTTAATGACGGGGGGCGAAAATAAAAAATATTATATTATAAACAAAAATATTTGAAATATAATACAAACCTAATATAAAAAAATTAAAAGAAATCTATTACAAAGATTAAGATCACTTCATTTGACTCTTATTTTACGTATTTTCTTATTGTTAAAGTCATATATAATTGAATCCGTGTTAAAACTCAAAATAATTTCTTTTTTAATGTATGTAATTAAAGAATCATCAAGAAATTGGTCTTCTATTTTATTTCGAAGCTTGTTCTTGATTTTATTTTACGCATGCGGATCCTAACTTTTTTCTTTCTTTTTAAATGTCAGAATCCGCATGTGTAAATATGTTTGCAACAAAAAAATTCATATGCTATTGCTGCAGAAGAGACGAACCCATAAATAAATTATGTTATTCATTATCAATAAATTAGATACCCACAAAGTTATATGTGTCCTTTCATTCTTTTTATAGCTAGAATTGTTAGAAATTTAAAGAGATTAAGAATAATTTAGAAGAACACACTGCAATTTTTTAATCTAATCACGTGTTTGGTAGGAGGTGAAAAAATAATTTCCTAAGAAAATGGGGTTGGGAAATTATTTGCCTATGTTTGATAGAAGATGAAGTAAAAATATGGCTAGAAATTTTTTTTCCATCATTTGCTTTTCGATGTAAAATAGTTAGAGAAGATTACTATTGAAGAGTGAACACGTACTTGAAGAGAGTTTCAAGATTGAGTCTCACGCTCCCTTCAATGAAAATGTTTGTGCTTCCACTTCAGTTGTCTTCACTTACAATTGCAAGCTGAACAATTTTCAGAAGTTTGATTTGAGCCGTTGAGATCTTGTGCTTCCTCTTCACGCTCACTCATGTCAGTAATTTACACACTCACACACATTTTGTAATATTATTAAAATACCTATATATATAATTTTTTTCTATCAAATTTTAGGGGGGGCGGGGGCCCACCCTAGCCCCCCTCTAGGTCCGCCCCTGCATACAAAAGATGAAAGCATTAAATGTGGGGAATCATAACCATACACATGTCGTTGTTGTACTTAAAGCGGCTGTAGAAATGATTTTACCTATATATATAGGAAAAAATATTTCTCTGACAACTTGAGATAAATTTATCTCCGACTATCTCAAAACTACGTCGTTTTGTTTATTTATTTTCTTATATTAATTGATTCACCTTTGAATGGTTATGATTTCTGTTTTCTCTCTCTTCCTTTATCACCATTGATCCATCTTTGTACGATTATTATTTAGTAACCGAAGATAAAGTTATCTCCGGCAGCTTGAGAAATGATAAGCCCATATATATATATATGGATAGATCTAAAAATATTTTTATAGAAATATTTTTTGTTTGATTTTTAACTTGATCTTTATGGATGGAAGAAGAAGATGGCTGAAATGATTTGAAAGAGAACTTAGAAGAGAAAGATTTAAACATGATAATAAAACAGATGTATTTCCCAGATATCATCACCATCATTTGGATCCATAGTAATACAGAGATAGATGTAAATTAACTTTTATCAACTGAGCATTAGATTAAGACTTTAACGTAAATAAACAACAGATTGTCAGAGATCTTCTTGATCTCTTGTTCAACATCGGCAAATTTGACTTACTGCCCTTCATATGGGACTTACTGCAACAGCTGAACAAGTTCTCAAGACTTTCATTTCTCATCCTACAATCATACATGCTTCTAACACATGTTAAAATGTTAACATAAAGCTTAGATAAATAATATATATATATATACGAGGTTTATATTTCTACAGGTTTTGTACGTGCAGCAATCAAATATTTTCCATATATATGCTTGAAAGCATTAAATGTGGGGAATCATATCCATGCAAAGATGAAAGCATTAAATGTGGGAAATCATAACCATACACATGTTATTGTTGTACCTAAAGCAGCTGCAGAAATGATTTTACCTATATATATATACATACGGATCTATTCATCTCATGTTGCATGAGATAATTATATCATGCAACAGAGACAAGATAGTGAGATCTATTACTTTTTCAAAAAAAAAATAAAAAAATAGTGGACTCTATTACTTTGTCTATGTTGCATGAGATAGTTATCTCATTACATAAGATAATTACTTTCCATGTATATATATATATATATATATATATATATATATATATATATATATATTGTCTATTCTTGTAGGAGAATATATCTTATGTTAAAATATAAAGTGATAGAGTCCACCACTGAAAAAAGAAAAGAAAATAATAGCATAATTATCGAAGTGTTTATGATATAAGATAACAGTCTCCTATGATATGAGACTACTATATATGTGTGTGTAATTAATATTTCTCATATTATAGGAGATAATCTTATCTTACACACATATAAAAATGTATGAGGTGGACCCATGTGAAAGAGAAGAAAAAAAAATGGACACCACACACTTTTATGTGTGTGGGAGATAAAATTATCTCCTACAATATGAGAAACAATAATTCACACACACACACATACAGAGGCGGACCGG